AGCCGACCGACCCCCACGACATGGAGGTGTCCGCCATGGAGATGTCTCCTGCGGTGCGCAACTGTTTCAACTGTTGCCGTCCTGGCCACTTCTCACGCGAGTGTCGGCAACCCCGACGTACTACTACTGGCGCCATCCCTCCCCAGGCTGCGCCTGGCCACTGCTTTCCTCGACCTTTCGTCCGCCGAGGTGATCGTCGTCCCCGCGGAGATGGTCGCGGTCAGGGAAAAGGCACTCCTCAGTGGGGCGCCTCGCGCCTACTGAGGCCCTGACGGGTCTGCCTTTTGACCGTGGCGGCACCACGCGATCGGCAGACCCTGACTCGGACACAATGATACTGTGTCAAATCGGAAGACAGCCTTCCCGAATGCTGTCCTTCTCGTGTCGAATTCCCGGATACGACAATGCGTTTCGGGTCCTTGTTGACTGCGGCGCTTCGGAGAACTATGCCCGCCGCACGTCCATTCAAGGGAACCCTTCCATCTTTGCCGACGCGGTTCGTCGTGCAGACCCGCACGCCTCCGTGCGCGTCAAGATGGCTGACGGCAAGGTTGTCTCCTCGCCCAAAATCCTCGTGGATCTCCACGTGACTCTGGAAGGCTTTTCTTCCATGGAGTCGTTTTTCGTCATCGACCTCGATGACCGATGGGACCTGATCCTTGGTATGCGGTGGCTCGAGCTCCACCAACCTCGGATCAGCTGGCGCACGAAGCGCATGTCCCCTCCTGCTTCTGCCGACCTAGGGGCGATGAGTAATGAGCTCTCCCCTTTGCCTGCCCAGGCGCCGTTTGCACCGCGCCGGACACTCTCGGCTTTTGCGCCCCCGTTGGAATCGGCCGCTTTCGGCGATGCCGCCGTGCCCGGCGATGACGTTTGTTCCGCTGCTTCCAGCGATGCCGCCGCACTCGGCGATGATGTGGAATCCGCCGCTGTCGGCGATGCCGCCGTACCCAGCGATATACCTCCTCTAGCGTAAGGAGCGCACCTTTTGGCATCTAGTTTTGTTCTGTTATGCATTCCTTTATGTTGTGTTAGCTTACATGTCGAACGCCTTTCATTAGAACGCTTCGGTCTTCGTGCAATGTCAAGAATTGTGGAGTGTACTTTCCAGTTTTGACCAGGTTCAAATCCATTCATTTCATATATTTTGGATTATCTTGGCATCCATACATAGTCTTGGATAATAAAAACCATGTCCGTGTTCCATATTTCAATTGGCTCAACCTGATCCTTGCTGCGTTTCAATTGGACAAAATGCGAAAATTCTGCATTGAATTAACTGTTGTACCTACCCTTTATGGCCAGCACTGTACGCGTTGAAGATTCGCCGCAAGTTATAGCTCTTGCGTTGAGTATGCATTAAGTGATGTACGAAGGAAGAGAAACAGCATGAAGGAGGCCACATGCTTGAATTCAACGATTCTAGAGTATGGCATCAGCCATCGGATGGATGTGCTTGAGTTGAGGTAAATCCTGCGCTCGAATTCATTCTGCAATTTGCCTCCAACCTCCCAGTCTCCTCTCCACCACGTTATCCGGCTTTCTATCCGGATTCAGTATTCCTCCGCAAAAAGTACCGGAATTGTTACATTTGGTAGCACTTTTTGGTTCCTCATTGTCCCTGGATGTCCCTCGGTGTCCCTTGCCCCTCGAATTACTGTCCTAATTAGGCGATAGTGTGGTCATTCAGTACTTCCCACGTCAAGATCCATCAATAGGCCCCTCTATTGGTGTAAGAGATACTTGGCAGTACTGATAAACCAATACTCTGTCCTAGTTGAATCAGTAGATGCCTCGAAGCAAAACCCGTAAACCGGAGTATCTTGCTAGCCAGACAATAAAAAAGAGCCTTTTGTATATATAGGATTGTTCAATCGGATCGCTCTTAGACGACTCTCATCCAGCCGAGCGACTGCATCAAGACCTGAACGCCCTGACCAAAAAAGAAAAGGCAAAGCGGGAAGCCAAAGTAAAACGTTCCATCCAAGAGTAGAAAGGAATAAAAGAACAAAAAAAGAGAAAAAAACGCAAAAAAATAAAATAGGAAAAGGCAATACAAAGAGAAAGAAAACAGCAAAAAGAGAATAGATGGAACAATTTTTGGAGACCCTGTTGCAAACGAACCAACGCCAACAACAAACAATGGAAACTGTCGCAGAAACACAACGCCAACAACTCATGGCCCAACACGATGCCTCCGTGCATCATGCCGATAGCTTAAGTCGACAAGAAAAAATCAAGGTGGAAGGACTCAAGATGCCCAAGTACTACGGATAATTTGACGAAAGCATTAGCCTGTTTATTCACCAAGTGACGACCTACTTCCATGCGAAAAACATCGACCCGACTCAAGACGAAGTAAACCATGCCCGATGCATTGCAATTGTGGTGACCAATTTCCGAGGACAAGCTGCAGCATGGTATCAAGACCGATTGCGCACGACGAACAGCTCACCGAGCACACTGTAAGAACTGGAGCAAGAACTACGAGCTAAATTTGAACCTGAAGACCTTCAAGACCGCCATCGCGACCAGCTGTATGCCCTGAAGCAAGAACGTTGCCATGATTTAGCTGATTATGTTGGCAAGTTCAGACGCATTTGCACGCAAATCTGTGACATGACTGAACGAGACAAGGTCAGCCATTTCCAGCGAGGCCTCCGCACCCGAACACGAGAAGAAGTACAGTACCGTCGATGCCCCAACGTGACAAGCGCCATCCAGACGGCCCTTGACTTTGAACGCGCTCACAGTTTTACACCTGGAAATCGCCCCAGAGGAAACTATCATCAAGACCGACGCGACCATCGCCAAGGACAATACGGACGCAACCAAGGTCATCAAGATCGCCGTTACCAGCCAACACCAGGACCAAGACACGGAAGCTTTCAGCAACAGCCGCGCCAACGAGAAGAAGACGATATGGAAGTCGATAACGCCCAAATGAACAGGAACCCGCGTGGCAACCAACGACCAACAAGAGGATGCTTCAACTGTGGACGAATGGGCCACAGAATCTCTGAATGTAGAAGCGCTAGACAAAACAACGAACAACGAGTACAAATAGCCGCTGCCTGCCGACCAACAAACCAACGTAGCAATCAGCGCTGACAGACCAGCCACCAACACAACCCTGAAGTGGAAGATATTGAAGA